GTGTTTAGCAGTGAAAACAATAGGACAAGGGGTCATAAGTTCCAATTTTGGCAGTGTAGGAGTCATGTGCAGTTTATAAAGTATTACTTTTCAAATAGGGTGGTTGGCTTTTGGAATGAGCTGAATTCAAGAAAATAATGGATGAATACATGAGTATTAAGGGGTGGATGTAGTTGGGAGCTGGAAGGGACATCCTTGGTGGGCTAATAAGCTTCTTTTTGCCCCTTTAATATTTTATGAATGTATGAGTTCCCAAAAGTTTGTTGAGTTTTTAAGGATTTAACATTTTATAACTTATAAAACTTATTTTATAAATCTTAGCATCCCATTATAGTTTTAATTCAACAGCTAAGTATGTCACAATGTATATAGATTCCTCCTAAGACTATCCTCTTTATATTTATACCATTTGAAAATCTCTATTTACAATAGTGTCTCTCTATTTTTTTAAGAATTTACTGTAATAGACTTTCTTTAGGGACAAAATGTGCAATAATATGTTAAATGACTGTGTTTAATATATCTAGTTGTTATTTTTTGTTTGAAATACAGGAAGAGCAGACACCTTTACATATTGCTGCCAGACTTCAAAATGCCAATGTTATTAGTCTTTTAATTCAGCATGGTGCCGAAATTGATGCAACAACTAAAGAAATGTACACTGCCCTTCATATTGCTGCTAAAGAAGGCCAGGAAGAAGTAGCATCTGTTCTTATAGAACATGGAGCCTCTCTCAGTGTTGCCACAAAGGTTTTAAGCTTTTCTTTTGTAACATATTATAAACATTTTTGTAAATGTTTGTTTATAATTCTAATAATCCTTTAAGCATATAAAAATATATTTATAAATTATCAAAACTGTAAGTTAATTATAAATCACAGAAATGTTGATTTGATCCTGTTACAGTTTAAAACAATGGTGCATTATTAAAAGTGTTTTATTCCAGTCTCCCAAAGTGTTTATATTATGAAACAATAGGAGACACCATGATTTCATTGTTGTGTTAAAACTGTTGAATTTTACTACTTAAAAGTACTTTGAGTAAGTGGTGTTTTTGTGTTCATCTGGTGTTCAAAAGACAAAAAAGTCCAAAATAATTGTTTTTCTTTTGCTCTACTGATTCGGTAGATATTGCTTAAAATGTCATGCAATCAAAGTTATTTTAAATGGTAAAAACGTTTTTTTTGTTAAATCATTTGATCATTGCTGTTTATTGGCAAAACACCTTTTTTTCTAACAAAACAGGTAAACTTTTCTGTTTCTTTATGTCTAAATTGGTTACCACTGTCTTTACACATGTTTTTTTAAGATATGAGAAAAAGCATGTTCCGATATGGTACTTACCTTCTCTTACAAGATTAGCTACAAGATCAGTGCTGCCCTCTATATGCAAACTCTTTCTTTAAGCATGCCATAAACCTTGTGCTCTCCCCTTGTTGGAATTACTATATTCCAACATGTCTCTCATTCAAATCATCATGCATTATCTCTTAACCAATAGTAGCATGACATGCTCATGTGACTCCCTCTATACTCTTCTACGAAACCTCCACTTCTCGTTTGACAGTGCTCTTGTTCAGATGTTTCGAATTTTGCTCTCGTGTGTTTTGTTGTCGTAATATTAAGAGTTTTATTGCCGCAGTGGTTTAACTTTAACAGTTTTATTGCTGCTATGGTTTTCTACTTGTTTTTGCTTATGCAGCTGAGGAATATATTTTCAATTACTTTCCAGTCTTTATTTTTTGTACGTTGTATTATCTATCAAATACACCTACTAAGAGCACTCTTTTGCCATTGCTACAGGTGGGGGCAACCCATCTTGGGATTTTCTGGTGATTGAACATTATGTGGGTCTAACATCTTCTCTTGATGTTGCCCCACTTCTTCACGAACAATCTGACCCTGTTCATTCTGGTGAAGATTTGATAGCCTTTTCCACCACCAGATTTTACCATGTCTTCCTCTGCTCCACCTGTAAATCAGCTAGGCCTACTACGACGTTTTTGGCTATATTTCTCAGGTATGTGATGTTTTATTCCTTTCCCCAAATATTAGGGTTCATGCTGTCCATTTTGCTTCCCATTTGGTTGTGAGTGCCAGCATGCCTCGCCCTCATGGGCTACGGATCAGTTTGCTTTGTCATACCATCATGCAGACTGTCCATTTCTAGAATCTTGGTTGTTTGGGTCTATTTTGCCTGTATGGGAGGGCTTTCCCTGATTTTATGGTGCATTCTCCCATGCCCAGTTTTCATGCCTTGTCTTACCATTACTTCCCTTCTGCTGTATTTATCTACCATACTTCTCACTTCTGATGCTCTGCACAGACATCCTAAGGGTTTTTTTTTTCCAGGGACAGCCTCTCACTTCTTGACTCCATGTGGGCTTGTGTGTTATTCTCGGCTCTCGTCTTCCACACGTGATTTCTCTGTTGTTGGGATACTCTTGATTGTGATGAGTCTTTGTCATGGGTTTGTTGGCTGCCCACTTATCTTTGTGTATTCTGTTTCACCCTTCTTTTCTTTGGTGGTATTTTCGACCATATTTTGGGCACTTTGGACTTATGAGTGAATAACATCCTTTGTTCGGATCTTTCTTCTCCCATCTTCATCTCATGGGTCCGGTTTTTGTTTCGATTGTCTCTCTGACTTTGTCCTCCCAGACTTTGTTCTGGTTTTTTGTCATCAAGTTTCCCATCTTATATTTTCTCTGGCATCTCATCTGCATCATCCGTTCGAGGAAATTCTTCTGCAGACTACACTTCATACAGTCGTCTCCAATTATTTCATCTATATCACAGTTTCTTCTTCATTGAGTTCTCGTCTTTCACCTGCAGTCGTTTTTTGCGATTCAGTGCGACTTTTACTGGATTAGTTTATATCAATACTTTTCTTTTCAGGGGCCCTTGCTTCATTTCTCATTTTATGGATCTCGCTCTGTGACGAGTGGTGCCTAACCAGGTAT